AACACTCCCTGTTTGACGTTCCCTCCCATCCTCTCGCCGTCAGTCAGCATAATCCATATCCAAAGTCCTCCATCCTTCTATCAATCGACAAACCCTCTCTCATCCTCCATCCCTCAACACTCATCCATTCATCCCTCGACCCTTTTCCCATTCATCTGTCCTTCACCTTTATCCATTATATGCAATAAAGCATTTTCATTCCACATCCTCATTGGGCTAGTCTTTGTTAGTGAACTGAAAGTTGTAAATTGATGTGTAGAAAGTCCTTCCCTGATTCTGAGGAACCGGAACAGGTGTTTCTGTGTTAAGTGTGTTGTAGGTGAACTTTACTTCCGGTCAAGGCTGAGAAATCTCATTGTCTGTGTGATAGCAGGTTTGGTCACTTGTGATAAAACAACAGCTCATACAGATTTAAGACAATCACACATGAGAGCTATCCCGCAAAAATGGTGAAATATTTCAGAGCTCAGTGCATTTTAAAAATCCTATAAGATTTTGTGGGACATTTGCAGTTTTTACAATCAGCACCACACAGCTTTAATAGAAAACAATTTAGAGTTTATAACTGATCTCAAAGGACTTAAGTTTCCTGAGAAAAACAACCTGCACTGTGCCTTTTTAAACACCACATTTCAAATTTTATATCCATATAAACACCCAGACATTTATTTGCAAGAGGAAATAATCTCAGCCTGCTGATTTTTGATAAAGACTAGAATAACTGCCTCTTTCTTAGTTTGAAAGGTCAATTTGGGGAATGTCTTTGTGTGTGAGATATGGTTTTGTTATTTTCCCTCAGTGACCTAAAGTACATTTTTCCAGATTTAAAGGTTATAATGTGTCCCCATTTTATCCATTTGCATTGGCTTAAGTTTGTTCTCTCTTCATTTGGGGAGTCATGTGTAGGCCAAAGTAATTCCTCTGTGTAACGAGCCTACAGCTAGCAGCTCTGTAAAGCTCAGCTTTGAGCTAAATGCTAACATTTTCTAACATGCTGATACTTAGCAAGAACAATGTTTAAAATGATCACCATCTTAGTTTCGCCTGTTAGGGTGCAAACATATGCAAATTAACACTAAACACAAAGTTCAGCTGAGGCTTGACCAGATGACAGATACACTACATAAACTATTTAATGGCAATCAAATGAATCACCAAAGTCATTAAGACCTATATGTACGAACTGACCACTTGTTGAATTCCAAACATAAGTGGAGGCAGCATATCACCAGAAAGTTGGGGTGTCAGTTCCTATTGTAAGAAAAGGATGCACTATCCCTCCATAGGTCTTTCTAACTTGGCAAACATATCAACACTGTCAGTATACAATTAGATACCTTACCTATTAGCTAGCTTAGGAAAGCAATGCCAATGTTAACTCTGGTTATACTTCTATTTTTTTATCCCTTTTCTTTGCTGCTGAATATGGTTTCATCCTCTCATGCATGGCAGACTAGATGCTACATCACCTCTTGAGGTACTAATGTCGTATTATGACATTAGGCCAGGGCTAACTTGTTACTAAGCTAATTGCAGTGTAAATATCTCTGCAGCACAATACATAGACGTCTTTATACAAATTATTTTTTGAATGTTTCAAACAGAAAATACACATAGTAGGTCCTTTAAGAGTTGTTGAGATATTTCAAGTGTTGGATCGACCAATATTTCCTATCCTAATCCTAATCTACAGTTTAAGTCTTTTTTCCCAACTTTATACCAGTTAATATGGTCTGGATTTGGTGTCTCTACCAAAAACTAGTTTTGGGGCACAGAGGTACGAATTTGTTTAGATTTTATAAATTTTAGATTTGTATCGTACCACTAATATGTTCCCTGAATTGGTTAAGCATCATCCACGGTTTCTAAAGTATAAGTAGTCTTTACGTACAACATTTTACTGTTATAAACACTCACAGTCAGATTTGCTATTAGAAGTGGATTGTGACTTGTATTGTCCTTGGTGTGTATATGGGTGTCACATTGGATTCATGCAGGCAGATAGACTGTCTATAGGGAGTGGGTGTATCTGCTGATCAGGCATCAGAATCATAGTCACACCGGTCCATTGTCTGAGCAGAAACCGACATTGACCCCTCCCCTGTTTTGAATCACACCAAGAAAAGTGTCATAGTTAATGTTGAGGAGTAACTTGTATGTCCACATGCACTCTGTGACCTCTTCCCCTTTTGATGACACAGAGTTTCTTTTCTGAGAGTGATGGGAAACAGCTTTTTTTGGCAGCTAAAAGAGAAGTGAAAAGGTCTAATTTAATTTTGGTTGCAAATTTCCAAACATAATGCCCACAACATGATAGCCCAAGATGATTCACAGTGTCTATCATGATGACTGTATTATTATCTTAGCATCAAACTTTGTTCAGACTTTGATTTGTCCAGCTTCCCCAGTGATCCTTGACGTGTTCTCATGAAGCTGGTTATCCACTGGTCCAGTCCACCAGGAAACTTCACTCAAGAGCATGGTTGCATGAATGAGGAAGCTTGAAGACAAGAATCTGAAATTTTTAAAACAGTTTTGACAACAGGTTCAGTGTCATTATTATTATTATTATTATTATTATTATTATTAGTATTATTATTAGTATTATGGATTATGTTACCAGTAGGACATTAGCCTCAGACGGCTAGGTTAACTTTCGCAGAAAAACTAAATCAACAATCAAAAAGGGCTATTAAAAAAAAAGAGTAGATAATGCTGCAACAAGGAGTTGGGGAGAAGATGTCTGGTCTGTCAATATTTGCCTGATCTGACAAAATGGTGGATGTAACTAACAATGTCAGTTAAACTGCTATGGAACTCTGCCAGTAGTGGTAACTATGGCGACCGAACGTTCAGCTGAGACCAACGGCTCTATGAAAACATACCACATAGATACATTTACTTCACTTTCTTACCTTCATGAACACCTGTTACACATGTTGAACTGCACACATAGAGATAATTGTTACCATCAAAATTCAGTTTAATTAAAATCAGTTGAAAGGGGCTTTACTGGCATTGGCAAACAGACGTTTACATTGCCAAAGCAAGTGTGAAATAGTGAAGTGAATAATACTGTTCTCACAAACTCCTCATAGGATGTTACTCATTACACAGATGGGGAGGTTATTGGTGTCACTTATGAAGGACAGCTGATGATGATATGGTAATGTGGGAGGACAGATTGCTGGAATTAGAGATTACATATCTTTTCTCTCTGAAGTTCACCTAAGCATAGGCCACATGTCTTGGGTTTGTTGTTTTTTACACTTGATGGATGTTTTTTTGTTAAACAAGAAGCAAAAGGATTAGGGAATCACAGGGAAGTTATATACATTTCCTGATATTGTCACTAAAAATCTGGTTCTGCCCGCAGCCTGCAAACCTACAACAGGAATTCCTTGAAAATAAAGTTTGACCCGGGCAGATCTTTAATAATAATAAACAATGGGAGCGAAAAACTAAGTGCTTGTAAGGGAGGGATACAAAACGACTTGCTTTAGGCAAATTCAGAAGGGAGCTGTGACTTTAATTGCCGCAAAATGTTTTGATGGAGGTTTATTTCAGGAAAGGGTGGACACTGATCCAATCTAACACACAAATGCACAGTGTTTACAGACTGGCATCCCCTTCACCAAATATGGTCAAATAATTTGGTAATTGTCTGGGTAAAATGAAGACTGTTGGTTCACATAAACACAAGCTTACTTCTGTTAATTGCTTAGGAAAGGAATGACAATGGAGCATGCAAACCTTCGCTTGTTTGGGTGAAATACCTCTCTTTACAGATGTTTTCATCCTTTGCTCCCCACGTGCATCAATGAGCCTTGGCTGCCTATGACCCTTGTCTCCGGTGCACCTCTGTTCCTTCCTTGGACCACTTTTGATAAGTGCTGACCTCTGCAGAGCTGCAGTTTTAGATATGCTTTTCCCTAGTTGTCTAGCCATCACAATGTGGCCCTTGTCCAAGTCGCTCAAATCCTCACGCTGCCCATCTTTCCTGCTTCTAACACATCAACATTGAGGACAAAATGTCCACTTGCTGCATAATATATCCCACCCACTGACAGGCGCCATGATAACGAGATAATCAGTGTTATTCACGTCACCAGTCAGTGTTTATAATGTTATAGCTCATTGGTATATGCATAGCACATTGTTTATAAGTAAGTTGAAGAGTCAATTAAACATTTGATACTGTTTCATATCAAACCTGTAGATTAAAGTGGATCAAATGATTAATTTAGCATGTTTTTCTGTGGAGCTGCTCTGAAACTGAACTCATATTGATTACACATTGTAAAGTGCAGTATATGTAATCTGCAGTAAATGCACTATAAAATGCAAATTAACTCTTTCTGATTTTGTTGGAGAACCGTGAAGGTCCCTGGAGCTGCACTGGAATCATTCAGAATAATAACATGCCCACAATAACAAAACGGGTTCCTCTTATACAAATTTACATGCTCCAGGTGTGCTTGTGTGCAGTGTCATTTTCCTTAATTTAATTATATTTGCACACTAACCATGCAATCTGTGCTTACTCATGTTAATTGTGAGAATTAACATGACATTGCATTTCAAGTGTTGCTTATAATTCGCTGCAGCGAGTCTAACAAAAAGTTACACTGTCTCTTATGGGAAACTTTAAAATAATCAGCTAGTAATTTTGTACGTAATTCTTTCTTTTTTCCTGATGTTTTGAGTTATTTCAATGTTCATTTTTATTGTTGATGATCTTATATTTGTTGCATGTATAAAATAAATTAAATTACATGACACTTTAAGGAGAGAAGCGCAATATACTAATATTACAACCTCTCTGATGTTACATCAGATATTTTTTCTTACCGCAATCCATGACACGGTCCTGAGGTTGACTTTCTGAGGAAAAATGTCCTCCCGTCATCCGCTGCAGGTGGAGTAGAGACTTCACGTGCGTCACGCGCCTCGGACCTTAAATAGAGGCTGCAGCGGAGCGCGCGCATAACGGTCCGAGGAGCAGTGCGGAGAAACTTACCGGGAGGTCGTTTTACATCAGCCACTATTTAACGACTTCTCATTGAGTTTCTAACTTTTTTTCCTCCTGGTCACTTTTCCAACCGAGTTCCCGGGTTTTTACTTGAATTCACTGAACTCTGCTCTTATCTCGACCAATATGGCCAGCTCGGGACTGCAGCTGCTCGGTTTCCTCCTCTCACTGGTGGGTCTCGCTGCCACTGTGGCCGCTACTTTCATGGTTGAATGGAAGAAGCAGACCCAGGGAAAGACGCACCGCATCTTCGACGGCTTGTGGATGAGCTGCAGTGGCTACGAGAGAACAACCTGTGAACTTTACCAGTCCCTGCTCAAGCTGCCAGGTAGGTTTTTTTTTTATCGCATCTGCATCTCCTCTAAAAACCAGACACTGCTTGTTGAGATACCTTCCACTGACAAGTTACTATAATTAACCAGAAGTGTCTTTGTTGTATAAGCTTCTTGGACTGACCTCATCAGGCTTCATGGCATAATCTTATTCATATACGGCCATATTATGGTTTTTTATTCTTCTATAATCTAGTTACTGCCAATTCTTTAGTTTATTTTGTAGAATTTTAATTTGTATTTCAGCTTTATTTTGGGAAAGGTTAAGCCTACAGGGTAAAACAGAAAAAGACTATTACTATTACTACAGTTTAAATACATTTAGTTACAGAAATAAGTAAATAAACTGTAAGATGCAAGCAAGGATCATGTCCAACAATCCGAGGTTCACGGTGTATATGTACCAACATTCCCACTTCTGCTCCTCTAGATGAGGTCCAGGCCACCAGGGCGGTGATGCTGCTCAGCATCTTCCTCTCCACTGTGGCGCTGATGATCTCCACAGTGGGAATGAAGTGCACCCACTTCATGGACAGCAAGCCGGAGAGCAAATCCACAACAGCTATGATCGGAGGAATCATGTTCATGGTTTCAGGTGTGTTCAGTGGCACCCAGAATGGATAATATGTCAAATATACTGTGCCAATATTATCATTTTTAAACACGTTTGTTTTGATGTAACCTTTATTTAACTAGGAAACCCTCTTTTTAAAATCTCTTAACAATAACAATGAGTTACGGAGAGGCAACACAATAAATATATCACAGCAAAACCACACCAGACACCAGAGTTGAAATGAACACGACGGTGATGAATTATATGCTGTGTTTTCAGGTTTATTGACCATCATCATAACCTCCTGGTATGTCAAAATGATTGTTGACACCTCCCATAATGCCCATCATCTGGACAAGTATGAAAACACACACACACACACGCACACATACACACACATTTTAATTATGTAAACAGCTGATTCTGTATATACATGTGCATTTAAATGTATCTGTGTTTCTTTGCAGCTTTGAGTTTGGTAAGGCGGTGTTTGTCAGCTGGGTTGGTGGCCTCCTCACTATGGCGGGTGGTTCTTTCCTGAGCTGTCGGAGATGCTCACGGTCCGAGTCGAACGAGTCCATTAGCGGAAACCACCTGTTCCCCACCACCAACCAAAAGTCCAACTACGTCTAATGGAGGAAAGCTGGGGGGCCCAGGAGAGGCCTTGATACAGGCAAACTGAAGCAGGCTGTTGTTTCTAGGATGAGGAAATGTCCCACTGCCGGATTATAAATACAACCTACTGAACATAAAGACAATAACCAGGATCGGGATTACACACCAGATCAGACTGTGTGTAATGATTTTGAGCCCCATTTTTCAGTATTGATCTTTTCTGTACTTACTGTATGTATGTTTGTTACTCGGTTGCCATCGGTCACTGCAGCAATTTCTGCTGCTGTCATCTGTTTGTCTGTTTTCCAATCCGAGAAATATAAATACGGACTCCATTTTTAAATCACTTCAGTTTACACACTATGACTTTTCTCAGCCTGTTTGTATATGAAATCATAAATGTACTCTTCACAGGTAGCAATGAAGAACTTTAGGTTATGTAAGAATAGTTTACAGTGTAGAAATAAAGTTTTGACTCTAGCAAGATTACTTTACGCTGTAATATCCCTTTACCTCCTCAGTTTCACACTGGTGTTAATGTAGATTTGTTTGTGTGTTGTTAATTATATGTAAGTACAAGTATATTTTCTTGGTGTATTTTTACGTAATTTTGTTATTTGTATTGTTTTGTGGCAGTGTGACAGATGTATGTACGGTTTGAAAATAAAAATAAATAACAAATAACAAATTTGTTTCCTTGACATTACAGTATAAAGCCTATTGTATAATGTATAGTGTATAATTTAAGAAATCCCTGCTGACATGCTAAATTCTTATCACTCCAATTTATATAATTAGGGTATGATTACCAGCTAATTTAAATCAAAAACAAAAAAGTAAGGTTTTATGTTCTAAATGTGTGAATAACTTAAATTAATTTAATTAAATTCTACATTAACCCACATTAAATTTGACTTGGTTCCATTTAAATCGTAAAGATCCCAGAAGGATTTTGCTGTTTACTCCAACAAAGCAGATCCTGTAGCCTTAAACAGGCCAACGGTGCTCCAGTAATTAGGTTTTTCCTTCCACTGAAACAGTTTCCTTCCTTTCATATCTACTGTACCGTCGTCTCACTCACTAAATACTGTAGAGCTCAGAGTCAGTTTGAGGAAATCTGCCATAGAGAAGAAACAGGAACATTACATCACATACACTCTGAAAAACACGGTGTCTTAAACCCTTTTTGGGTACGCACCAGTTCCTAGAATCAGATTTTATGATTGTTTGGTACTTTTCACATTTTGTTAAGAAGGATACAAAAGGCAGAAGGCAACTACAGCAAGCATTAATCAGTAAAAAATGTAAAACTCGACTACCAAAATCTGTTTGAACAGATTACAAAGTTCGCTCCAATCTCACCATTAAACTGAGTCAAAGTGTGTGTGGAGCAATTAACATCCCTTTTTGACAAACTTACTTGATCCTTTAAAGATACAAAACGCAGAAGAATTTGATATGCAGATAAGCAATGTTGTGTTTTTCTGTACACCACAGTAGCTACACAAAAACACCTTCAATCAGACTCAAACGGTTGATCTCATTCTTTGGTGAACACAACAAATAACAGGAGGCTGCGTTGTCATTCTCAGCGGATGTAAACGAATGTTAGTGTTTCTCATGGGACTGACATGCTGCTGCCCACGCTCTGACGCCAGCCAACCCTTCCTTAACTCTCAAAGAAGAAGTGAAAGTAAAATGTCGAGCTGCATGATGAATGTTATCATGCAACGAGTTGATATTTAAAAAACTTTGAGCTTCTTTTAAATGTAGCTTTTTTTTGTTCTTGATTTTGATTTGTTCTCCGATTCATATTTTATAAAATTGTTTGGATACTTTATTTGTCCCAGTAAAGAAATTCATCTTTTTCACTCAGATTAGTAGTTTTAGTGTGGGCCAAACACAGAAACCTCACCGGTTAGAGGTTAGGTGCCTTGCTTACAGGTACCTCGGCAGTGCCCTGGGGGTGAACTGTTAGTCTCCAGCTACCAGTCCACCTCCATATTGACTGGTTTGGTTTGAACCAGCCAGCCTCCGGTCCCCAAGCCAAGTCCCTATTGACTGAGCTACTGCTGCCCGTAACTCATGTGTTATCACGCTGTATCTGTTCCTTCGAGAGCATTATACTTCTTGTATTTGTCTGGAGTTATTACAGTCTTATTTATAGTTCAAAGTATTTCTGTCTGACTCTCTCTGTCCAAAATACATTCACTGACATGGAAGGTGGAGGAAAGAATAAGCACTTACAAGTTAAACTGGTTTTTATAATGCATCACTGATTGCAACACAGTTAGACAGTGTAAGTGATAGACCTACATCTTTATTTACAATATTATTTACATACAGATCATTCTGGCCCATATAGGCTATAAAATAAATTATAGTAACACCTGTAATACAATCTCTGTTATTTTGTCAATTTCTTGTAGGTGTTTAGGACTTTGTAGCTGTATAAACACATAGAACAATTCATACTGAGGTCTCTTATGCTTTAGTTTGTTTTATTTGTATCCATTATACCCTGCACCTTCCCACTGAATCATACCTGGTTGAGGACAAATACAGGGTAACTTAAAAAAAACATTGTCCTATAATTCCTCTACAGTCAGTGTGCTTTGCTACCAAAATACATTCATACTTTAGAACATTTAGTACATTTCTGTACATTCATGTTATCTATTCTTACAGTAAAGAGATTGACACATTTGTGATTGTGGCACATCCTCCCACACACTCACTTACTCACTAAGTTTATTTTTAAAACAGCACAAACTGGAATTTAGATCTTACAGGTAAAGCTTTCGTATAATGTTTAGGAAGTGTATTTTAATGGTTTACAGTGTACGTATATGTTTCTAAAAATGTAATCTAATCTGTAAATAAAAATACTGTATGTACTGCCCTCTAGTGGTGTATCTCAAACGTAGTAGCTTTTCCATTTGGTTTTTCCATTTGGTTTTCAGATAAGTTTTTCCTTAAAATAAAAATGAAGACTAAAACAAAAACCTTATTTCCACATAACATCTGTCTACATTCACAGTTAAATCAGAAGCTTGAGTACAGCATGCAGTGTATGTAAGGTTGTGATGGCCCTGGTGTCATCTGGGAGTTTGTATCTGTGTCTCTCCCCTGCATGTGACTGACTGCAGTCAGTGCACCTGGGTCCAGTGTCCTGAACTTCCTTTAGCCCCAGCTGTACTCCTCCACCATCTCTCTGCTCTCTCGTCTTTTGTGGTTTATTGGCACTAGTTGGTCTAATTTGGTTAATTTGTGAAATAAAGTTCCCATATTTAAATATTTGCCATGGTGTGTCTCCCTTCTTGTTAAGACTTCCTGAGTGTTCTTGACAAAGTGCATTAGGTATTGTTTATTCATTCAATATGAACACGTCTGTTTTTGACTTGAATGAAGAGCTGAGATTGGTTTTAAAACAGTGAAACTGCTTTTAACTGAAATTCCTCCAGAGGGAGACAGTCTCCTGTAAGTGGATGATGTCTGACTGTCCTGAGACATTGAAACTTCTAGAAGACAAGACAGCAGGTATTTGTACATGCGTATCTCACCAGAATAGATTGTGGGAGAAAAGCCTGCAATTTGCAAACGTAATCATCTAATGTGTATTAGGCGACTCAAATATTCAAAACGTTCCACTTATTTGAAATGTATGTGTTTATTTAACAGGGTTAGTGCCCATTCATAAACAAGAGCCTTATCCAAGAGGTTGAAGAAGTTACAAAGTCACCCTAATAATGAATATAAGATTAATATTAGTATATTAATAATATTATTGACTTATTATCTTAGTCTTAGTCTTATTATCTCTTTGAAAAGATTTTACTTAACTATTGTGATATAGTGATAATTTAAAGCTTGTTTAATCAAATGTGTTTTAAAAAGTGAGTTTAATTTAATGTATTGTTGCCGGTTCAATAAAGAGAAATCTCTCTTTTATTTTGCTATTTGGTGCCGTTTTCTTTAAAGAGGGAAGTTCCTTTTTCAGGCATGTGTGTAGTCACATTAAGAACCCCACAACTTTTTCCTTTTTTTCTCCACAGTTTCTTGAGATCTGCCGAGGAACCTTTCAAGATTTAACATTTGTCTCAAGGAACCACACTTTAATTTGTTGAAAAAGAAAAGCTGTCGGTCCAATCCAAGTGTTCAAACTTGTTGAAATACAGAGTTTATGGCTACCCACGGGGCTCCCTGAAGGACCCCTGTGGGAGCCTGTAAGGAGCGCGCACTGTGATTGTTTTCTGCCCATTCATTTCTTGGAGGGGAGGAGTTAACGCTGCCGGAGCTGGGGTCATAACAAAATGTGTGTCCCCGACTAAAGCAACATTATTTCCGCCCTGGTCCGGTGTCCTGAATATCTCTGCGAGGAGCTTTTTTAAATGGACTCTACAACGAGACTGAGCTGATAGTTGTTGTGACCGACCACCGCTCCGTGTGCGCTCCGCCTGTCGCTCCTCACCGTCGGAACCGAAGCAGAGGATGGATGGAAACTTCTCACCAGTTCCTATCTTATCAATAGTCCTGTTAACCGTGGCGTTGTCACCCTCTACAGCCTTTCTGGAGCCTTACGACCTGTTATATGACAATGCGGTGCAGGCTTTTTACAACAACGACTACAGCGATGTGGTGCGCTTCATGGAGGGAGCGCTCAGCAGCTACACAGAGGTCCGGCGCACCAGGGTCCGGTGCCGGCTCGGGTGCCAGGACCAGCATCCGTTTGATGCAAGCTTCTCAGACCTGGTTTTCTTCGACGTTGTCCTCAAGAGAGCAGCGTGTATGAACAAATGCATCGAGGAGATACTCGGCTCGCAGTCGGTGCATAAAGTCAGCGAGGATGTAGTGCAGGACTTCCACCGGAGGATCCCCTACAACTATCTCCAGCTTGCTTACCAGAAGGTAGGGGGAGGGAGAGGTGGATGGGGGGAGGGAGAGGTGGAGGTGGAGGGGAGGGGAGGAGGGGGGGATCTGCTTCACATTACCTGCCACAGTCTTCATCAGCTGTTGCTGCTGCCCAGCAACGTGATGCAGAGGGATGAGAGTGATCGGTGGTAGGCTGACTCCACCGCAGAAATAGAGCTATTGTAGGCCCCAATATTGATATTTGAGAAAAAAAAAAATCAATAATAAACAAACAGTTATATTATCAAAGTTTAGAGGAGTAGTTAAACATGTAACTGGTATTACATTTTATTTAACGAACACATCAAAAAATATACAGAACAATATTTAAAATGTAGGCAAAATAAGTTTATAGTTAATATTAAAAAAAAACATGACCACATGGATGTACTACCTGCAATATAGGCCGATACTGATGTGAGATAAGCCAGTACTGACCAATAATATTGGCCTGCTGATAATATCAGCTAGAAGGCTGACAAGCTTTTTAAAAAGTTCATATCAGGGAGCCATGAAGTTTTCTAGTCCTGACAGCAGAAGTATGCAGCTGTGTGATGTAACATGCACTTCATGTGTGTGTGTCCATCCCTCACATATCAAAGACTACTATGTTGTTGATGTTAGATTTACTTACAGGTAGATCAAGGCTCAGCAGCCCAGATCAGAGCAGGTTGTCTCTGCAGATGTCTGTGCACTTGCTTCACTGCTTTGTTTACAACCGTGCTTTGTTTTTTTTTATGGCTCCTCTGTTATTTTTGTACAAATGTATGTGGCAACTCCAACTTTTTCTTTCTCTTTCCTGCTTAATCCCACAATGACACGTGAGAGTGTAACCCAAGATCTCAAGAGTGAGTTAATAGATTCACTTTGCATTACAACCATCTGTAGGCATTAGTAATCTTTCTTATTCTCTCTACATTCATACAAATTTCCCAAACAGCATTTCCCATGAGGTACATCTTTTGGATGGAACAATGTTGAATGCTAGGCGTGGGAACAATCCAAGAGGCAGATGAAACAGGAGAGCTGGGAACAAAGTGCTTATTCAGACTCTGTGACTCTGTGCTGTATTTGTCCCCCAGGAGCAAATAAGTTTGATGAGTCTGTCGTATTCTAAGAATAATTTCCCCATCAATTTTGTTATGTGTAGTAACACAAACATATGAAGGGCTCTCATTTGATGGATATTTTTATCCAAAGCTGCTTATTTGGAAAGAGTTGGAACCCCCCCCCCCCCTTGTTGTGCATTGATCTATTCAACAGTGTTACTGCGGGGTTTTGTTTGCATGTTTTATGTGGTAGAAGAGCTGTCACACGAACATCCCGGATGTCTCCCAACCTCCTTTTATGCTGTGTTATTGTGGACTTCTAGCAGATGTAAAGAGTGGAACTTGAGCTTTACAAACACTTCATGTAACACACAGGCATACAATAAGATGTGTGATTACAACAGTGATACAATGACTCCTGGAGGGAAGTTGTCTGTCTGCATCTGTCCCTCAACATCACACTCAGGGTCAACTTGAGGACACTTCATAGGGGTGGATACTTACAGCTTCAATGGCTTGAAGTGTAACTATTGTACATGTTAGTATTCACAAAGACTGGTCTCAGGGTGTGATTAAATCTTATTCAACTTTTTACCTTCATGCGAGTGACATTTTAACCTAGTTGGAAATGGGGAAGCTGGCACCATCTCCTCACATGAACCTGAGACCCAGTCGATTTCCACTGCCGCTCGCCGCTGCAGACCAGCTCAACAAATGCCAGGGTGATGACACACAGCTTCCACTGCTCAGAAGTGGTAGGAAGTTAATCGGCCCCATCACTGTCTGCGGGCAAATGGGCTCCTCCATTTTATTCTGAATCAGCAGAGAAAGAGCTGAGGTGATCCTCTCATAAAAAGCGCACACTTTTGTCTAGACATGAGCAATGACACAGCTTTATACACAGATCCTCGCCCAGCTGTAAAAATATTATTAATCTTTTGTGAAAAGAATTACAATTTCTCTAACATCTGTTTGGAGAAAAAAGTGGAACATCGTGTTTTTTTCTCTCTCACAACAAAGTAGAAACTAAAGCTCTCGTGAATGTTTTAGCAAATCTTTATTTTGCCCCCTCCCTCCTCCTCTCCTCTCCTCCTCTCCTTTTTGCCCCCTCCTCCTCCTCCCGTGTTGCTCTGTGTCTCCTATGTGTTGACGTCTTTATGAACTGAGTACATGGCAGCACATCAAGGCTGAGAGCTCTGATCTTACCACAGGTAAGGAGAGGCAGAGCTGGAGCGTTCCCATTGGCCGGGCCGATCCGAGCACATCAGACCAGTCAGTGTGCACATTAGTATCCTCTGTGTGTATATGCAGGCACCCTCACATGTGTGTTAGTATGGAGGTACTTGGTGGTGTTTGTGAAAATAAATAACATTCCTGCAGTATTTAACATTCCAGCGTCACACACCCTCCTCCTGACAGCCTCTGGCATAATGCTGCCATTGGGCCTGTTAGAGGAGGCTCCACAGTCACCAACTGTTCTCCTCACTCAGGCTGCTGCGTATGTCCCCAGCTCGCCCATCGTTTAGCCTGGCAAATATTTTATTTTCCTGTTGTGGTCTGTTTGCTTTTCTAAAAAAAGGAGAGACACGCCACCTTCTGCAGGTATTAAAGGGAGACTTCTGTAGCAGCCACGGGGGTTGGACCCTGATGGCCTCCAGTGATCCCTGCCACTGGCCACACCTCTCGCTATACAGTCGGCATCAAAGGCCCTGAACTGCCTTCAGGGGGCAAGAAGAGATTGTATTTCCAGCCACTTTATCCTTAATCTAATCGGTCTCGCAGTGCTGCTAGTCCAAGAAGTGATTGTGACATAGGGCTCATTATTCTTGGTTTTATTTTTCAGTTGTATTGAATTTATCAATGTTTATTATGGTTATGAAACAATGAGTGAAAACCAGATCAAAATCATAATACAAATATCCAGGTACATATTTGTTATTAAAAATACTAGATTTGCATTGCATTGCAATCTTTTTTTCTTTTCACTTTCTATAGTATTTCCCATTGCAAGAGGACCTTTTAGGTGCATGGGGACTTTAAATCCTAGTGAAAATCTGTGGAAATAGCTTTTGGTCTCTTCTGAAAATAAGACTGACCTAACCCCTAACCCCATGTTTCAATAAGGTAAATATAAAGGTTAAAAAATAAAGTTTTAATAAGAAAGGCAATGCGAAGGCATAAGCTCTTCAGCCCCCCTGACCCACTTTTCAAACTCCTGCTGTGCAGCTAAGTGAAGTTTCCAATGATACCTAATATGTATGCATATATTTTGGGTGTTTGGATTTGACTTTATGATACAGCCAAAAACAAAATTGCCTAGGCTTGAATATTTTACACATTGTATAGTTCAAATGAAGAGCTGGGACATGTTGCAAAATGTATACAAACATTCATCGTGGAATACGATCATTTTACAACCTTTCCTTAATGGGAAATTGAATGAAACTGGGTGTTTGTACTCCTCAAAGTACTGACAAGGCTACATACAACTTTTATATTTTGTAATCTGGTTAAACATTCTGCACAGATACTTAGTCATCATTAATCCCAATGGAGACATTTTACCTCTACATATGAGCCATCCAAATATTTAGGAACCTGAATGCAGTGCCCAGGGACAGCTAGACACACTCTTGTCACGTGTGTGTATTTGCTCTCATCCTACAACTTGTATAACTAGATCATTATGGGGTTTGTTTGACAACTCACTTTTCAAAGCTGTCAACAAATATATCCATTTGATAATGATTCTCTATGTCCAAGATAAGTTTGGGGAGGCAATTGCTAGTAATTAAGTTTGCTAATGCTCCATAATGATCCTTGAGACGTGCTCATCCTGTGCGTCCAGTTTACCCTCAATTCTTGTCTTGTCTTGAGGTCAGACATTGTAAATGTTGCGTTGATGTTGAGAAACAAAGATTCACAAATTCGCCCAAAAATGTTGAGATTTGGCAGCAATTGCAAAATTATGTTACCTGACTATGATTTGACACAGACAAGGCATTTCCTCTAACTGCACTGACATAATAGAGAAAGAGACATCTCTATCAATCAGTTGATTAAGTTAATTTGTCTTGGGAATTGAGGCATAACTCAATAATCATCCCGTCGTCATTTTGTTTTGAGAACTTCCCCATGTCTCCCAGCACGATGTCAAAAGGTGACAGTAGGTCAGAACGGTCTCTGAAGCCTGCTGATGTTGTGAGCCTTCTCTGGAATTTTCTCTTTAAAGTCTGATGCATTCATGTTTCCACTGTGAACACGATGGATTGATTACAACACAGCAGGCAGCTCGTGGCTCAAGTACCGTCCTTCTTAGATTGCCTTGGTTATGATTAAGGCTTAAAAGTGCGTATGTGTGAAGGGCTGGTGATGTTCAATACATCTTCAGTTTATTGAAATAAATTGACAGAGTTAGGCTTCAGCCTGTGGTGATATAGCTTTCCAGCTCCCACTCCAGCTTGAACCCCAGCGAGGAATGTTGGAAGTACTGAACATTTGAGTGGAAACTGACCAGATTTTGTACAGACAGAGCTCTTAGCTGTGAGTGTTTGTGCAGTAGATGGGAATCGCAGATGATGTTATTGTCATCTGCAGCTGGTAATAAGGGGGATGGAAGTGTTTAGACAAAAGGAGAGTGAGCTCTGTCTTTGGACTGGTTAAAGCAAGCTGTAACGCTGCCATTTGCTCAGAAGCAAGCAGGTTTGGTCGCCGCCAAGTCAGATTTATGTGGCTGATGTATCTGCAGGGTCGTTCTGCAATTATCCTACTTGCAAAGTGACTAGGAGCCTGGGAGGGGGACACGGGAGTAGATGACCATAGAAATCGGCCCTTTGGCCCATTCTTCACTGGTTGGTTCGTCCATTTGGAGTTTGTTATATAAGTTGCTTAAAGGGGCATGAATCGATAATAGACTCTTGCAAGTTTTAGCATCTTCAAGTTAATCAC